AGTGGATGCTGTCTCGGTAGGAAACTTGAGAGAGACGGCGCCCATGGTTTTGGTGCGATGCAAGACAGCGGCATACAAGGGCAACACGGAGCTCAGAAGACCACTCGAAGTAGAGAGGGAAATAGAGGCTTCCATCAGTTCGACATCGGAGGAAGACTTCAAGCCCCAGAAGGTAAACGTGAAAAGAGGTTCAACGGACGGACAGACAGGGGAAGTGGATGTCGGCAAGGAATGGGTCTCGAAGGGACACCAGACCACGGGGAAGCAAGTGACGAGTGATCCACTGGAGAGGAGCAAGACGAGGAACACCTCCCGACCATGGTGGGTGGCTCTCGAGACCTTGAAGGAAATGGAAGACTGCTTGAAGAAGTTGGACAGTGGAGTAGCTCGCAAACGACGCAATTGGGCCACCCAGCAAAAGGCCGAGGTTAACAAGATAGAATTGGCGAACCAGCTGAAGAGGTCCTGGCAGAACTTATTGAAGGATCATTTTGAAGAGGCAATGAGGACCCCCTCATCAGCACCGCCATTGATGGCGAATCCCTTCGTTAGAACCGCAGGACAATTGATGTTCACCTGGAGTCTGGTGGGAATAGAGTTGGAGACGCTGACCTCGTATGACAGGGTGAAATTGGGAAGCAAGAAGCTAGAAGTGTATCAAGCACTGATGCAGCACATGGCCAGGGATAATTCAGGCTTGAGCCTGGCTAGGAGGAAGGATGCCACATGTTTCTTGAGATGGATAATGTCAATGATGTCTGATAGCACCATCTTGGCGTACTACCAAAGAGCAAGCGGAAGTAGAACCGTGGAGAAGAGAGTCTCAACGATCATCTTAAACGTATATCAGAGTACTGGAATAGAAAAGGAAGATGGTTCCAGACTATCCCTAGAGAACCACAGAAAGCTGGACGAGGTACGGAGGTTCTACAAAAAGAAGTTCGAAGAAGAACATGATGTTCACCGTAACCTGGCATCGCCAGAGCAGTACTCGAGACTCAGTGAGAAGGGGGAATACCAATACGTGTCGGGAGTGATGGGAACAGCCTACAACCCCTTCTTAGATTCAGAGACTGGAGGCGCTCACAGGAGCCACGAGGTAGCGGAGCTGCTGAAGTTTTGGACAGAAAAAATAGTGGAAATAGACGCGGTGGAGAAAGAGAGGCCGAGCCTGGGCCTGATTCTTGAGAAAACACCGGAGGTGGTGAGCATACCGCGCTCGAACAAGAGAGTTGAAGTGAACATGGGTGATGGCAATGGCTTGCTGATCACGAACTTGGGAGTGGTATGGAAGTTACTAAGACCCTCCTGGTGCCCACATCCCCACGCGAGTCTGATCGAGGAGACCACCGAACGGGTGAGGTTAGCTCCAACGGAAGATGAAGATTTGGCAAAGTTGAGTGTGGTGCACAAACTGATCTTACCTCAGATGAAGGAGTCAGGCGAAAAGACGAACAGTCTTGAGTCAGCAAAGAAGATGGAGCCGGGTAGCTGTCTGGATTCTACGTGTGGGAGTGGAGAGCACACCTGCGATGGACGATCATGTCTCAGGAGATTGTCTTTTCAAAAAGAAGATCTGGTTACTTGGTTTGAAGACATCACGGAAAGGGAGAAAAGTGAAGTACAAATAGTGGCGGAGTGTTACGCGAGAACTACGGTGAACATAGCGACAGCTCTCGGATTCTTCTCGAGAACGTGTAGTCTGCAGTCACTGAAGAGGCTAGAGTCTGAACACCATTTAGTGACGGCGTTGAGCGTGGAATCATGGCCTGGAGTGTTGCAGGTGACTCAAAAACATATCCGGAGCTGGAAGGTTGGTCTCGAGGCGGAAATGGGGTTTCCCATGAGCGAAGCTTATGGCCTGCCATTGAACGCAAAATCCCTGATAGGGTCAATGATGGCCAATTTGTGCGGAAGCCACTACCCACTGCACATGGCGATGGTGGAAGCATCCAACCAGAGAATATTGGTGGACAAGGCCTTCTCAGTGCCCAAGTGCGTGAGGTTGGCTCGAGTATCGCATCACTCGCACAAGTTGTTGAGGAAAATCAGAGGGACAGTACCGAAAGAGTTGAGAGATGACTTGAGTGAAATCTGGGGAGAAGAGCTTTTGAAGTTGGAAAGTGAGAACACAAGGGATCACGAGAGACAAAACGTGATCGGAACACCTGTGGGGGGCACTCCAAACATGGGAGAGAACGACACGATGCATGAGAAAATGATGGAGCTTGAGCCTCTCTTGGAAGCCTCGGGGGAGCGTAACCTCAGGAGCATTGAGATCACCCATGGAGAATGACCATGCCACTGTTTAGCACAGGCGGTGTGGTATCCAGATCACAAGAACCTTTGTCTGGTGTGGGATATGGAAGAAATTCGGTCAATCGGATTACCGGATCCCCGGCAGAAGGTGACGCTCTTAGTAGTGAGTACGATGCTGGCTCTGAGATGGATAGAGGAGAATATAACGAAGTATCGGGAAGCAAAGACGCCAACGGCTGAGTCAATATATGTGATAGACTACAGCAGGAGACTCGAGTTGTTTGAGACTGCATGCAAAGTATTCGCCATACCAACGGAAGTCAGACACGTATGGAGCCGCTTGAGGTACTTTCCATGGTTTCGAGCGACACTGACGTCTTGGTTATACATGACAACGAAAGATCACATGAGAAAGCATCAAAAGGAGTATCGACAGTTCCAGGCCGAGATTGGGCCGGAAGCTTTCAAGAGACCCCTGTTAACCCATCGAAATGCAATCACGACAGGATGGAAAAGAGTGGGTAAAATGTCTAGAGACAATACCAAAGCGAGGGAGTCGATACTAGAGGAAGACTTGGCGAAGAACGTGAGCCTGAGCCTGCACAACTCCTTTTGTTTGAACCGGGAATCTAGGGTGAAGGCACTACCCAATCAGGCAAAAAAGTTGCAGGAGCATAGGGAATGGATGCGATCCTATGAACAGCTGAAGGCTTGGGAGGAGATCGTGATTAGCTCCGATGATGAAGAAGAACTGTTGAGACAGTTTGCCGTATCCAGTACTTCAGGAGACGGCACCTCCAAGGCGAAGAGTGCGAAATGAGCGGATGGTTCAAAGAGATCTTGAGTCTTGAGAGGGAAGGGAGGCTTGAGTATGGATCCGGGTGAAACCTGGGTTCACGAAAAAGAAATTTTAACGAATCAGATATTGTTATTAATATGCTATATATACTATATAAGTGAAAATGCTGCATGACAATTTCCTGATTGAATGGGACAAAAGAAATTTTAAATAATTGGCTTGAAAAGCGAGAATTCAAGGGTGCAGGTGTGTGCAGATTTTGATTGCTGTTTAGCGATAGTGTGAAAATTTTACATGGCCGTGAATTTTGGGGTGTAGATAAGCTTAAGTCTGCTGCAAACTTCTGTAAATGACCACTGGCACTGTACCTTGAGCAACACCCGGGGAGTATGTGCCAGTCGGTCATATTTGGAAGTTTGACCTTGAGAAAAGCAAGAGCACTTAATTTTGGAGTGAAATTTGATTTTTCAAAAATTCGAATGGAGCCTGTCATGCACGATTTTCTCGCGATAACTGAAAACCGGAAAAGAGAAATCAGAACGATCGAGTAACAATCGCGGGAAAGTTGCCAGATAAAACAGTGGGAAATTGCTATTCGCAATTTCCGTCACAATAAAACTAGAGTAGAGCTGTCCCATCTGAAACAGAGACAAGCGTATTCCCGAGAACTGGACTATCATTGATCGACTGGATTGTTATTCGAATTGGACCAGAGTGAACCTTCGGTGGAAAGGTGGACAACTTGAGTGTCCCAATGGTTCACGAGAAACTATATTCTAGAGTAAAAACTTGTCCTTGTTATTGAAACTGATAAACATTAAACTCATTTAGTTACATTATTTAATTCTCGAGTTGATTACCGACTTAATTACTCCCGGTTCTTACATTGTGAGTACTCAATTTAAATTTCTAGAGTGTGTTTTATGATTGTTATGTTGAGGTAAGGCGAGTTTTAGGTTGATCCATCTGAAATGGATCAAAGTTCCACTGTCTAATAAAAAGTAACTTAACGGATTGTTCTGACCCGGTTTTTAACGGCGTTCATGTATTTTGGGTATCTAGAGACCTAAGTATGGGGACGTTCTTATTTCTAGAGTGGGGGGATATTTTGGTAGTAGCCTTTAAGCTGTAACGGGTCGTAGTCTCATGTCACAAGCGAACCGAATTGGCTCGGACTTATTTGAGGTAGAAAAACACAAGAGATAGTGTCCCTGACTCTTGAGCCAATGGTTATAGGGCCTATTTTTCTTAAGCCTCATGTGTGACTACAGTAGACGAATGTTACAATTGCTTTAAAAAAGTTGAAAACTCTATCAAGCTTTTTTGGATTGGCTAAGCTTGAGCTATGAGCTATCCCAAAACGCTGTAAAGAACTGCTCGGACGGAGGCAAATATTTTGAAAAAATTTTGGCGAAAGTTTTGTTCACTTTTTGGCGCTCCTGCTCCCTGCGTCTATCTCACATTTATTTAATTTACTGGATAGCCAAAAAATTCTTTGCTACCTGATAATCAAAAATAATTTTTTATTGAGTAGCCGAAAAAAAATTGTTTCCGGATAGCCAAAAAAAATTGTTCTCGGATATACGAAAAAAAATTGTTCCCGGATAGCCGAAAAAATATTACGTTGTCAAAGACTTCGCACTTTTATTGCTTTCTAATTCCATGAAATCAAAGCTATTACGCATAGAAAATTTTTTGAGTGTATTGGATTTTTGATTAGCGAAGCTCCAAAAAAAACACGATAATTTAATCGTTCGAATAAAAGTGGTCCATATTTTGCGACGAATTGCTTTTTTTCCTAGTTTTTCGGCTATCCGCTAACAAATTAGTTTTTCGGCTATCCGGGAATGCGGCTCTGTGGGTATGCACCTCCATGATTGGGCGCAATGAAATGTACAGAAGTTTTTATTACGTCTTGCTACGGGCGAGTATTTCCTCGTGGAGAAGGATTTAAATCGGATTTTTTTTTCAGTTGTTATGACCACAGCAGCTCGTCCAACTTTCGATCCCGCCAAGGGTGGTCGTGAAAGGGGTGATCTATCGCAACTTTCAAAGCAGTACTCCAGCAGAGATTTGCCCAGTCACACCAAACTCAAATACAGACAGGATACTCAGCTTGTTCCCGAAGATGTCAGCAGCAAAGAGCTCAAAAGGCAGCTGGAAGAGAAAGAAATGGCGGCCAGTGGAACATCAAGTCGTCGTAAGAGGAACAGGTAGGCACGATTATGTTAATTTGAAATTAATTTAAAATTAGTTGTTCCGGTTGAGCGTAGCTTAGCTGAATTTGAAATACTCTGTAGTTTGATTGAATTTTGCAGACCTGAACTACTGGACGTAGATGACCCAGTCGATTCAGATCCGGACAGCAACGATGAAAGCGAAGATGATGACGATGAGGCAGAGCTATTAGCAGAGTTGAACCGAATCAAAAAGGAGCGAGCTCAGGAAGTCTTGAAGAAAGAGCAAGAAAAGAAGATTGAGTCAGAAAAAATTCGAACTGAAAATATTTTAACCGGAAATCCGCTGCTGCAGAGGAGTGAAAATTCAGCAGCTGCTGATTTTAAGGTCAAGCGAAGATGGGACGATGATGTTGTTTTTAAGAATTGCGCCAAAGATGAAGAAGATAAAAAGAATAAAGGATTCGTCAACGACACCTTGCGATCCGAGTTTCACAAGAAGTTTTTGACAAAGTACATAAAATAAAGTTTGGCACTTTTTGGAAAGTTCACAGCCCCGATTAACATCCGATGAAATAATAGATTTCTAGCAAAGATGGTCACGAAAACTCCGAAATGAAACTTTTTCACTTAAACTTAGTGGTGAATAATTTGTCAAGTATTAATTAAAATCTTTTATGGATCAATGTTTTTTGTACCGATCACAATTTGTGAATTAAGTTAAAATTCAAAAGAGTCGGAAATGTTGGAAACACAAATAGACGCCAGATATGGTCGAGTGATCTATTCTTTCAATCGTGGCTTCATCCACCTAGAAGATTGTAGTGAAATTTGAAAGAGTCACGAGAAAACCGCTGCTGACCATCGGAATTGTCGCTGTAATTTTTGTTACAATTGCCCTCTGAAAACTATTAAAGAACTAACAAATTTCAAAAGCTTGTACTATTAGGTTTCTGTTTCTACCTCCATTCTTATTTAAAATAGTTGGATCTATAAAAAAAGCCCTTATGTTTAGGTACTGTCTGTGCATAAGTTCTATTGAGCTAAATCTGCGTTATATAAATACATCGACAAACTCTATATCAATTCGACAGTGATCTCACCCTGTTGCATTGAATTGTCTCCGTAATGAGCGCGAATCTTCATTTATTGCGTTCGGGTAGCATTTTTCGTCTTTTTCGTTTATTTTGAAGGCTAGCGACTGCCTTGTCCGCGCATGTGCGGGTGTTGCAAAAATCAGTGCATGGAAACTACTGCTCAACATCCGTTATTATTTGTCGATGTTTTGGACTTTTCATAGTTTGATGTTCATTTGCTTTTCTATCGAGCCTTGCCTCTGAAGTTTTGGCTCGATTTGGTCTTTATAGCAAACCTCTTTCATTATTTGGACAAAAGTATCTCAAATTTTAATATGCCGAATGTGGATTAGCCGCCCTTTGCAGTGTAGAGAATGTGTAAGATTAAAAATTGTAAGGCATGTACATGTAAGGGTATTGTAGGTCGGCTCATCCTTATCTGAAGTTACTTCCACCCCGGTTTTCAAATTTGTTCAGGTTGAAATTATATCTGCTTAGCGGTAAAAAGTCAATCGGTTGTTATCTTATCTATCGATTTGTGTTTCTTAGTAAATTGGCGAGATGAACATGAGAAACATAATATAAATACTTTTTTTTTTAGATTGGTATTTTGTTGTCACCTTCAGCTGTTCTGAAATTGCGTCAATCATTTTAAAGACGGAATGATAGAACTTGATCTAACTGCTTTCGACTACAGAGAAAAATTTTTAAGAAGGTAAAAAAGTTTTCAAATTTTACTGTTTCAGTGAAATTCAATTCAAACGAGATGAAATTAAGAAACATGATAAAAATGATCTTTCTTTTTGATCAGTATTTTGTTCACACTGAAATTGCTCTGAAATTGCCTCGATACATTGAAAGACGGAATGATAAAACTTAATCTAACTGCTTTCGACTACAAAACACGGAGTGATAGCTTTTGATTTAACTGCTTAAAACAACAAAAAAAACTTTCGAAGGTCAGACAGAAACTGTTTTCAAACGACATCGTTTTCTCGAAAACTAGAAGGATTTGAACATTCATATTTTCATTAAATCGCAACTAGAAGGGTGTTCTGTAAGAAAAAAAAGTGAGGAGATTGGATAGAAAAACTTTTTTGAAGTATGCTATGTTTTGAGCCAAACTGCCAAAAAATTTTTACTCAGAGGTGAGGCGGAGTTTCGCGCCACTTGCGATACAACCAGGGTTGCACTGTAATTAACACCTCTGTTATTTACAGTGTTATTAACACTGTTATTTAACGTTATTTAACCAGGCCTGTTATAAACTGCTGTTATAAATTGTTGCAATGCATTGCCTGATGCACTGGCTGACCTCTGGCTCAAAATGTTGAAGCTAGTACCTACCACAGCGGGCTTGGAAAGAGCTTTCTCGACAATGGGTTTTGTCCATTCGGACTTGCGAAACCGCCTCGACTCCAAAAAAGTTGGGAAACTTGCTTTTTGTCTCCGTGTACTAAAATATCATTGAATATAATTCATTGTTTGGTACACTGCTCCAACTTGTTAAAACTTTACCGTTATTAACACTTAATAACGTTTTTTACGTTAAAAACGTCATAAACCCAGAAGGGGTGTAATTAATGCAACCCTGGATACAACGCAAGCACAGCTTTGCAAGCCAGCGAATGGAAAATGAGACGGACTTAGCGAAATTTAAAAAAGGAAAATGATTTCAGGAACACAGTCGAAAAACTCAACCTCCAATATTAAACAAGCTTTTCGCGTTTACCGAACGGCCACTAAGCCGACAACAAGCGAGTAGATGCTCATTGAGCCAAAAACAAACAAAAATACCCACGGAATTGTTTTCATAAATAATAATCTATTAGATATTGTAATTTAATTGAAAATTTTTCTCGGTCGAGTTCGTTTCTTGAACAAACCAAATTTATAAAACGACTCGTTTGCATTTTTCAGTTTTGCTCTGATATCAACGCACTCATAGGATGGAGTTTGCTACCAAGAATATCAAAAACAACTTGAAATATAGCAAAGATAGCCGGCCACTAAAATTCAAGACAAGAAATTTGAAAATAAAGACAAAAACCCGTGAAGTTTTTCCCCCAACATGTACTGCTTATTTTCTAAAAGTTAGGTGAATGATTTAAGTGGAAAAAAAAATAAACAATGAGAAGTATATTTAGAAAAAAAAAGTGTTGAAACTGTATTCGAATTTACTTGGGAGCGTCTAAGTTAGACTGAAAAAAGTTCTGAGCAATTGTTCTTCAAAATTGAGTTAATTTGATTTTTTAATGAATCTGAATCACGTCAACAGAGCTAGACTTTGATACCACGCTTAACCCTCACGAGATCTTTGGCTGGAATACTGGCTGCAAAAAATTAAGAACACACCATATGCCATACTTCATTCCAATGATTATTCTTCCGACTGTGGTCGAGAACAATAATTGTGTAATTAAGTTGTTGTTGTTGTTGTTAGCCCACGCGGGTCGGGTTGGGCTCTTCTGTCTCCAGGTCAAGGAACTTAGCAACCTCTACCGGCCGAAGCCACAGGTCTGCTGGGGTGAGTGGGGAGGGGTTTTGGGAGCAGTTGAAAAGGTGACATGTTGTGTGGGGGGCAAGGGAACAGGTTGGGCAAAGGTGGGAGATGGAGCTGTCGAGGCGGGATAGGTAAGTGTTAAGGAGCCGGCTGTAGCCAGACCGGAGTTGGGAGAGCTTACAGCGCGTGGGACGTGGGAGAGATTTTTCAGAGGGGTCAATCTTTGGGGGAGGGATACAAATAACTTTAGACGGAGGGGTTTCGGCTAGGAACTTGGTTACAAGGGAGGTATGGTTGTCTTTTAAAATTGGTTTGTAGTAGTTAAAAATAAAAGTGGAGACTTCGTCTCGGTCGTCCAGAACTAGAGGGTGGTTTGCGTAGACTGAAAAGTCGGTTAAAATTTTCTGGATGTCTTCTTTGAAGCAGCTTATAATTGAGGGGCGAAGTAGACGGGGAGGAGGGGGATGTGAATGTATAAAATTAATGGGATGGTGGGAACGATAGGTAGAGATAAAAAATTGAGATGACAGAAGGGTATGGTGGTCTTTGACCGTTAGGATTTCAGATTCACTGTGCAGGTGGGCAGTTGAACTCATTAGATTTGATCCAGTAACAACGCGAAGGGATTGGTTTTGGGCAACCTGCAGGCAATTTATGGAGGTGTTACTTGATGCGTGGGACCATGCGGGGGCTGCATAGTCAAGTATGGGGCGAATTAAAGCTTTAAAAGTTAGGAGGAGGGTTTCTTTGGAGTGACCCCAGGTTGATCCTGCTAATGCCTTCAGGATTCCGATCCTGCGTCTGGCCTTTTCAGCGGATTGTTTGCAGTGAGTGGCAAAACAAAGTGTTGGATCAAATGTCACCCCTAAGATTGTTGGATTTTTGTTTAGGGGTAGCGCCTCGTTATTTAAAAGAACACTAGGTGTTTTATTAAATTCTTTGTTATAAGAGGAGAAAAGTGTAACTGATCCTTTAGAGGACGCGAAACTTAGTTTGCGTGAGGTGAAAAAATCGTAGAGCCTTTTTAGGTAGCTATTGAGGGAGTTTGAGGCGATATCAATATTGGAACTGCTTGCGAAGGGGTGGAAATCGTCTGCATACGAAACAAGGTTTACATTATCGGGAGGTGGCGGTGCATCATGGACATAAAAATTGAAGAGTGTGGGTGATAAAACAGAACCTTGGGGTACGCCACAGTGGATTATTCGATGGGGGGATGTGTGTTCACGGAATGAGGTGGCAGCCTGTCGACCATTAAGGTAATTACTTAGCCAGCGGACTAGACTTCTTGGGAGGGGAGTGTCATGAACGAGTTCCACAAGTGAGCGATGACACACCATGTCGAAAGCCTTAGATAAGTCAAGTGTGGCCAGTACCGTACGTTTAGGGGGGCGATTTTGGTTAAAACCGTCTGAAATGTAAAATTCGAGAGTGGAGAGAGCTGTGGTGGTGGAGTGAAAAGGGCGGAAGCCGTGTTGGTGTTTGGCGTTGGGGAGATGTTTGGTAAAGATGGGGTGAACGAGCCTCTCCAGAATTTTAACTGCTGGGCAGAGTAAGGATATAGGTCTGTAAGATGTTGATTGTTTAAGATCCTTATTGGGCTTTGGAAGCGGTGCAATTTTTGAATTTTTCCAAATTTGGGGGATAATGTTTTCGGACAAAGAGATATTAAAAAGGTATGTTAAGTATTGAGTAGCAAGTGGGCCGAGATGTTTAAGATGTATATTACAGAGGCCGTCGGGACCTAGCGCTCGCGATGGTTTGCTGTCTGCAATGGCTTGTTTAGTATTTTCAGGGGTAAAAATTGGGCTGTCTGACAGTGGTAGTTTGGCAATTTTTCTTCTCGTTATACGAAGGAGTTTGTCAGAGGCGTGGGGTCTGGCATTGGTGAATTGTTTGTTAAAAGAGCTGGTAATATCACGAGGTGAGTGTATGGGTTTAGAACCAAAAGTAATGGGGTGTCTTCCTGCCACGGGCTTAGATCCATTTAAGGAGCGTACCACTTTCCAGAACTTTCTGGCACCAGTGCGGTAGTCGCAAGTCCGGAGGAATTCTCGCCATTTATTTTCTTTGTCCTTTGCTGTCTGTTTCATGAGTCTACAGTTCAGTTGGGATATGACTTCTGGGGGGAGATTTTGTTTTCGGCTTAAATCTCTTTCGGCGGCTAGGGCAGTGGACTCGGGGGAAAGAGAGGGAGTGAAGTGGCGAATACGGCCAGCGGGGATGTGGTGGCGTGCTGCCCTGAGCACCAGGTCCCTCAAGAATTTCTCTCCAGCGGCAACTCCGGAAGGTGGAACCGCTGAAAAGAAACCCTCCTCAATTTCCTCTGTGAATTTGATCCAATCTGCTTTTAAAAAATTTACAAAAGTCCTTTTAGGCGAAAAATTTATAAAATCATCCAAGGGTAGTTCTAGAAGAATGGGTAGGTGATCTGATCCTAGAGATTTAATTGGGGTCCATGATGTGGAGAGTAAGAGCGATTGGGATGCGAGGGAAATATCTGGTGACGAGAGTTGGTTTTCTGAGTTAAAAGGGACTCTGGTTTGTGTGTCATCATTTAATGGAGCAAAGGTGGATTCGGTTATTTCATTGCTAAGTACAGAGCCGCGTTGATCTTCCTCGATGTTGGAGTTCCATAGTTGTGAATGTGCGTTGGCATCTCCGAGTACTAAGGCGTCCCCAGGTTCAAGTAGTTCGGCAAGGGACGCAGAGTAACCAGGGGGACAGCTCGTGCGAGGGGGGATGTAGAAATTATAAATACGAAGCTTGGATGAACTGGCTACCACTGATATGCCCATAGCCTCTAGTGTTCCATCGTTGTTAATATTTATTTCTTCGTATTGTATCGACTCATGTATGGCTATGAGAAGACCGCCCCCTTCTTTTTCTCGATCTTTTCTAATTAAAGTGTAGTGTGAGCCAAGTGAGGGGTTTCGAGATTTCTTTCTTAATTTAGTTTCTTGGAAGACAGCAATATGAATTTGATTTTGAGATAAGAAAGCAGCAATTTCGGGTGCTTTTCCGGAGATACCGTTGCAATTAAATTGAAGGATTTTTAAAAGGCCTTTGGCAGGGTGTGGTGAACTATTTACATTATTAACAGCAGTATGATTAAAATGGTTGTTTGAACTTGAGTTATTTACACTATTTACACGATTACGATTTGCGCGATTTTGGGAGGAGGAATTATTATTCGAGGAGGTGGGAAGGGTGGGAGGGGGAGGGGGGTTAGGGAGGTGGGGTTGGGGGGCGGTTAGGGAAGTTGAACAAGTTTGGGAGTTGGGGGTGGTCAAGTTAGAGGACCTGGTGCCTGGGGGAGGTAAAATGTAGGTAGAGGTACAGGTAGGGCAATAGTAGTCAAGGTGGTGTTGGTTAAGGTGGGTAAGACCACTACATTTAAGGTGAATGTAACCACAGATGTGGCACCAGACGCTGGGCTGGGTGCGTTTGATGCGGAAAGAGCAAGGGGAGCAAAAGTAAGGCCCTGGACCAGGGTTTGGATTAATGCCGGAGCGGAGTAGTAGTATAAGGATGAGCAGACGGAGCAGCCTGGCCGGCTTCAGACGCTCCGTAACCGAAAACCCGGAGACTTCGGAGCTTCTCCCGACCCAATGGGAGGGGGGGCTTGACGCCATTTGCATCTTGGTGGGGCCCAAGATGTCGGATCCACCACTGGAAGGCGGCGTCGTCTGGATCCTGTGTAATTAAGTGATCAATAGCCTTTTTTCAGACCAAATCCGCGTCTCAAAGATAGCTGTAACATCGCAATTACATGCAAAAGTATGTCATAATGGAAAAATTGCTCTTTTTAATTATTTCGGAAGGTTTCAATTTCACGTTATTTTAAAGTTTTATCTTCGAAAAGCTTGCTAGACAACAATTTTCAAATTTTAAACAAATTGAAAGCAGTTTAAATTATTTGAACAGTTTCATTTGCACTTAGTTTGATTATTTCATAGGTTGTTTCAAAAAAACTTTATTTTTTCTGAAACAGTTCCATCTATCGAACGATGTAAAACCACTTTCTTTTAGCGAAACAGCGCAAGTTATCAGAACAACCATTAAAATTTTTTCAAAATTTACGTGCTTGATAGCTTGCTTTGAAAAGCTTGAGATTTTCGAATTTTTGTTCACGCTTGTAACCAGTTAGAAATATTTCGAAATTTCACCTTTTTTATCAATTTTTTGCGAACCAAAGCAGACTATGCGAATCAAAGCTTCGCCTGCGGAGCTGAAGATTTGGTCAAAAAAGCGTCTTTATAGTGATTTGGGACGGCTAAAAAAGGTCCGAAACATTCTCGAAAATGTTAGATCTGCCTTTGATGCACTATCTGATGTTTTCACGGTAACCTATATATTTTTTTTCATTTGTAGCAGAAACTAGATTATGCTAGTTGAGCTATTTTTTTCGCTGAGTTTTTCTTGGCAGAAGTCAACAAGCTTCGTAGAGTCTCAGATATAACTACGCATAGTTGAAAATCATCAATTCCCTTTTATCAGATACTTTTGAAAATAATGGAAAATGTTGATAATATGGCTAATCATAATCTTTATTTGCTCGTACAAACTGTAAAAAAAAGTTAGCAATGACAGAGTTTGTTTGTGTCAGGGTTTTTCTTTGTTGAATCGAGTTGTTATGCACTTATTTGAAGTTAAACTCCTGATTCTAAAGTTGAAGTTGTTTCGCCGTGCATCTTTTCAGCAATCGAATTTGCGGTTAGTGTGAATGTCCAAAGCGTACGGGTTGCATTCACTGTCCATGTCAAAATAGTTATTGTGGTGAACAGAAGAAAACACTCCACAAGTGATGTAAGCCAGAGTGGCGGCAGTTTGGGATCCCAGTTCGGCTTCATTCAGTCCGTAGACTTGTGCTTCGAGACCCAATGATACTCCTGGAAGAACTGTGACTGCTCGGCCCATTTTAGCACCCTCTGCGCACGCTTGAAGAGCGTTTCCTGAAACACAATTTGTTTTAAAAAAATCCCGGTTGTTTTGTAAAATTCAAGTTCACGCGACTAGCACCGTGAGAGAAAAAAGCAGTCTTCTGTTTTCGTATTCTCGCGCTCTTATCCAGGTGTTTTAAAGGTCAGATACATCAAAAATGAATTATTTTGTTGTTTAATTGGTAATAATACGTCATACAACATTTCAGAGAAAATTGCTTAGTTGTTCTTTCTTTTCTTACCTAGAACATTTTTGTCTTCGATGTATTTGAGGAACCAGATCATTTCCGAGGGGTCCTTGTCTCGCGCAAGAGACATCTGAAAGATAACATAAATGTGTAACTCAGAAATAGGGCAACTAAATGTGCTTTCAACAGCAAGAATCACTAGTTCTTAAAATTAACAATCACTGTTAAAACAAAAATTTAGAACAAAAAATTCCTAATGAATGCGAGCTCCAAGTTGGAAACGTTGATTCTGGTTAATTCAGAATAGGTGAGCTCTTTAAATTACTTAAGCTTTGAAGCAGAAGACTTTTTTAGAAAGATTTTACTATATTTTATTCTGGTTTTCAAGATTTTGAATCAAGCAAAGTCATCAAACAAGCATTATGAGCCATAATTTGACACTACCAAAAACATCAAATTCGGCCTGCATTCTAACTTGTTGAGTTTTACAATAATAGTAAAAGCAGCTCTCTGGCTTACCTGTTCTACTTCGTCGCCGGTTTTCGTGCACTTGACATTATCTGGGATAGGGATAACGTTGGAGCCACAGGGCTCGTGTTCCGAGTAGAATTCCCAACACTGTCTGCTGTATCTGTAGCAATAAATATTTCTTTTACCTTGTTCGGAGAGCGAGATTGAGTAAGTTGAATTATTCTAAAAATGAATTTAGGATTTACCCCCGATTCAAGTCTAAATGGAAGCCGAAAGAGCAAAAAAAATGGGTTTTGGTGTTTTTTACGAGTACAGTTAGGGGTGATATGTATTACAGTAGGTGGTGATTTTGAGAAATATTTGAGTAAGTGCATGTATCAAATTTGAGAATTCTTATGCATAATATAGTCGTTTTAATTTCAATAAATTGTACTACTATACTACTATTAAGATAGTTTTTGTATAAATATATTATTCTGCCAGAAGAAACGTTAATCAAAAATTGAAATTTCAAACTTTTGTCAAAGAATTGGCTTTGAAATAAATTATACATACTGCTCGAAGTATAACAAAGAGCGATCCAGCTATTTAACTTGAATCTGCCACCCATTGTAATATATCACAAAATTAGGTACCACAATTGAGTTAAAGACATTTTTTTGCGAGACTGAACTATTAGAGTGATTCACAATGTTTTTTAACTGTTAAATGAAAAAAATATGAAGACTTTTTGCAAGTTTTTCTGGCGATTAACTTTGGTAGCAACTTTGCGCCGCTTGTTCAACAACCGGTTATTTTTGTTATTTATATGAGTTTATGAGCTCTGCGCAGTTTGAATAGCCATTTTTAACACTAGACAGTAAGTATTTATTTTGCATGGATGGCTGAAATTCGTCACGAAGGTTGCGTTCCTTCAAATGGGCTGTTTTTTACACAAGTCAGCTAGCGAGCATAGACTTATGTGACGAAACCCCCTTTTTGCCATCCAACTCGCAAATATAGTGCTCATTTGTTGGCATTTCTGAAATCGCCAGGTCCGCGGTTCGATTCCGGCACATAGAAAAAAGTTTTTTTTTCACGGCCTATTTGTCCTTGTTTATTATTCCACCTTTTTGTCTTTTAGAGCTACTTTTTGTTATTTTTTTACTGTTTTCTGGCTTTTGTTTGTTCAGTGCAGCTTCGCCTCTGAGTAAAAAGTTACGCCTTACCTCTGCATGGTTCCTCGGACGAGACTGGGCACGAATCCGAAGTCGACCATGACCTCTTCGTCGGTGAGACATTTGACCTCGTCTTTTCCCTGCAGCATCTCTGTTATGCTTGAGTAGTAGTCAGCGTCCTCTGCAGAATAATAAGTACCAAACTTTAATTATGATATAACTTTTCATGTTTACACTGACCCGTTAAAATAACTACATTTGTTTTTGATACTATGAGGGATTTCGGTATCAACGGTTTCGATTATTTAAGTCAGAAGATATGCAAGTGTATTTAGTTCACTGGCTGAAGGTAAGAATTGACTAACTTGTACAGCACTTTTCGTACGCTGCTTTGATGTCCTCTTTCGGCAAGGCTTCTGCAGTCACAGGTGATTTCATCAGGGGTTTTGGTACTTCAGAGGTTGATTTGTACTCATAGCACAGATAACTGGCCTGAAAAACATCAATTACTAAAAATATTTTAAACAAGGATAGTCGGTTACTGTCCAAATAGTCTTTTCAAATGGTCGGAACAATAAACCCGAACGAGAATTGTTTTAAAAGTTCATTTAACAAAGGAGTAGTTTTGGTGTCAAGTATTTTATATTTTGATCGCTTTATATAGCAACTTATCATGCACGAGAAATTCCATGTAAAAACAGATATCAAAACTTAAAGCAAACTAGTAAGGACTGGTTGATAGAATGATGGTCTTTCTAAGCCAAAAAAAAACCTTTTGAACTTTTTCTGTTTTTGTTTGTTTTTTATTCATTATTTGAATACAACTGTAGTCTATGATGATTAATTTACTTATTTTCAAAGTCTTTGTCTTGATTCATTCTCATCCCACCACGCATATAAAACGGCACAATTTTTTAAAATGAAGCTAATCATAATTTTGTGTACTTAGTTGCACAGCAACAGACTTGTTGTTTTGACAATTAGCAATGGGGAAGAACTTTGTATTCGGGTTTCCGTTTTTTTGTTTTCCATACAAAATCAGGTACCACAATTGATCATCGGAGTGGATCGAGCGTTTTATCAAATAAAAGCCCTTTTAATCGTGATTCGAACGACATTAATAAATTTTTTCAATATTTTGTCCCGGTATCGAGAAAAACAGGTTTTCAGTTTTTAGTCTAAACAAACACGAGCGAATAAAGCAAGCGAGTTGGTTTACAATAGCTTATTTATGCATAAATTCGGCAGTGAAATATTTTAGTTTTTTAAGAATTCCCTAGCTTCATTTCGGGAATCAAAAACTTACAAAATTTGAAAAAAAAAATTAATAATTTTTTTTGTGGTCATTTTTCTACAAAAACTGTTGTGCAATTTGCCTAATTTACTATGAATGCCGAATATGCCTAAATTTAACTTTTTCGTTTAGATCCTTTAATCACCTGACGCAGAAAAAAATTGACACTAATTTGAAAAAAACTTGACACTAATTTTTTTCTAGTTTTTTTTTTAAAATTTTTGAAGAACAGTAAACGGCTATCTTTTGTTACACTTGCTAGACATTTTCCCGTAAATCACTCTTCTTACCAATCTGTAAAAATTGTGAAGTTGCTTTAATAATGAACCTTAACTACTTCGAAGCTTCTTTCCACTTGGCCTAGAGGTAACGTTGCCTTTGTACCCTAAGGCTCTGGGGTTTGAATCCCGGCCTTCTCTTGATTATTTAGTACATGTAAGTTGAAAAAATAAATTCCGCGAAAAACTGAACTTCGTCTGTCTGCTCACGTTTTTTCGGCTTAGTTCCCTCATCGTGGATTTTTCTTGTGCTGTCATCAATTTAAATTGTAGATGCGAGTGTTCTTGAAGATGCAAATTTTTCAGTTATGCCCTCCCCAATATGGACACAAAAATTCAAAAAAAATTTGAAAATCAAACCAAAAATTTTTTAATGTAATTTTTTGTTCATAATTAAGTGTGTTCGAAACCTGCTATGCTAATTTCATAGCAACTCACTATTCTCACTTTTTAATTTTCATTTGACATACCTGTGTCCAGATGGCTTTCTGTCCGATGAAGAACACTGATCGAGGATAGTAGCTCACTCCATCTTCCTCGTAAGGCCCCTCCCCCTCCTGGCCACACTCGGAATCGAAGGTGTTCGAGTCCAGATTCTGGTAAGACAACACTGGCTCGTCAGAATAGTAGTCGTAATCGTCTCCGGATTTGAAAAACAGGTCCAGGTGATCTTCGTCGGAGGAGGCTTTCATGTAGCCTAAAAAAAATCGAACGTTGAGTTTAGTTTAGAAATCGAACGTCGAAAATAAATCGTTGAAAAGGTTTGCATTGTTCTCTCATCGCACAACAAACGAAAACAACGAATTTGAAAAAAAAATTATTTTTTTTCATGATAGTGGTTGGAACATTCTGTGCTACTAGCACAGCAACCAGCTATCCTTGTTTTTTGTTAGGTTAATATGCTTAAACATTTGGACTTTGTCTTAGACAGGAGAAGTGAATGTATATATGTATGTTGGTATCGTTAAGGTATTGCTTAGCGCTTCTACTGAATGGGTCTATTTTCATGACCGACACCGGAAGTTTTCGATCACTCAACTCTTAACTATCCAACCCTTGCCAATTGTCCTACTTATTTTTTTCTCAAACTTTTGTATGCTGAATTCCTTCTGCCCGAACCGATTAATACGCAGTATATGAGCTTCTGCAAATATGAGCTTCCCGAACGATGAATGCGCAGCGCAGTCTGTATTTAGACAACCCCGTATTCATACTCGTCATTAAGCAAACCACATTAACCAATCAGAATCGAGATGAGAAAGCAAATTTACGAAATAAATAATTATTAATTAATCATTTTTTCCTTGTTTCCATTCAGATTAGTTAATACAGTATTTGTCTGCTTACTGACAAGTCTGATTATGCGGTTGTCTAACTACTGCAACGTAACCGATGAATACACTGGATGAGGGCTTAATATACTAACACTCAGCTTGACAAGCACGCTTCAGTTCGTTTTGAGTGGCCAACTTTTCTGCGCATCTGGGCGGGACAATGAACTCGTCCATCAGCATAGTTTTCACGCCCGGCTCACACAGTTTTCGGATTCGGTAAAATTCTACCAACTCTTCGGCCGCAAGTGACATTGCCTCTTTTTCCTCGTCTAGATACAAAATTAAAATAAAAGATCTAATTAGTCCAGATATTTTGTTTTTCCTGATGAATTGATTGATTGTCAGGTTTTTGCTTTTCACGAAGATGATTTATTT